CGAGCGGAGCTCATCTGGGCCTGCGTGAGGTCAGTGTGGGGATTCCTTCAACTCCTCGGCCTAACGAACGTACCTTGATGCTTAGAAAGAACTCGATCTTGTAAAGTGTTGATGTAGTAGTAAACGAAGAGACCTCGTATTGTGGAAAACCAGGCTTGCCTCGCTTCATGATTCCGTCCGAGTCTCTCAAGTCCTTGGATGGAAACACCAGGCCCAAGTTCGTGACGTAGCCCGCCTCTGGCAACTTAGCTCCGACGGGCTGTATGTGCCTTGCAATCCTGTTGACCTTCTTGGTTGGCTCGTCACCCTCAGGGTTGTAAGTGATTTCTTCCTCAATTTGTAGTGTGATTTGTTTGATCGTGACCCTCTTCGCCTTATTGACCCAATCTGCATTTGGCGCAAGCTTGATATACACCGTGATGGGATCGCATGGTCCGTAGCTCCATTTGGGGAGGGAGATGCCGAGCGTCACCAGGTTATCCGCCGTCACGACCTTGGATTCTGGCCGGTTGTACATTCCAAATGTCGACAATGTGTCGTACCTCTGTAGTGGCACCGGGAAGGAGTATTTGTTTTGTGTGCTTGCGCCCTGCTGTACCGTCACCACCAGTTCGTAAAGCGTTTCGGCCGTCCGTGAGGGTAGTTGTAATGAAGCGGGTGGTATTCGTCGATTTGTCTCCTCGCCGCCCCGTCCAAACGGGATGAACAGCACAAACGGTAGGTCCATCGCAATGACGCTCTCTGCCTCCTTGCCGGCCTGACAACGAAATAACAGCAGCTCTTTCCCTACGACGTCCACGGTCTCCCTCCTCGGTGTTCCCAAGTGGCGTCTCGCGACATTTTCGGCGGCCGGATGTATTGTTTCTTTTCGTTGCAAGCATATCCGTACGAGAGATATTGCGACGGGCGCGGAGTAGCCTTGTGATGGTCTGATTTCGACTTTCCCTTCTATGCGCGGCTGTTGGGAAACCATGGTTAGTTTGCGACTGCAAAAGAGGGAGGATGCGCGCCACGAGCGGGCACCCGCAGCAGGGCCTGTGGGCTAATTGCGACCGCATGCAAAGGTTAGACTCACCAATGTTGCTGATATGCCCGGGTATCCAACCAAAAAACTACTGTTTGGTGGGCCGGACACCCGTACGAATGCCGCCATGATGGTCGCAAAGTCGGAGAGATAGCTGCAACCAATGCGCTATGGTGTCCGGGAGACAAGTCTGAGGTGATTGTTCATCCAGGTAGAGCGCAGGCGATTACCGGCCTCGCCGCCCAAGGCTGTAAAGGGTATCGAATGTGGGGTACGAACGGTTGGCGAGCGCCTTGGTAGCAAAACGGGATCGGGGAAAGATTGCAAGGATGAAAGTCGGAATATCGACAGGCTGTGACCATTTAATGAGCTAGGCCAGCGACTGAGAAGCCGAAGACAGTCGAAATCCGAGGGTTGAACGGTCGTGTGCAAATCGATTTGGCAGCTTCTAGAAATTGGGGGGTGGTTTGCGGAGGGGGTGAGATCTAGGACTTCCGTGCTGCAGGTCGAGTCGAGCAAGAGCAAAGCCGTGTATGGTGAGGTAGTAACGCGGGTTGGTGTATCCGTATCGCCAACAAAGTGCGCGCGGGGCGTTCGCTGCCTTGGCAGGTTGGCCAGGTATCGCGGTCGCAGGTGGCAAAGCGACAAGCTCTTTGGCGTAATTGTCAGAGCCAAGAAATGACCAGGCTGGACCAGGTCTGTGAAAGAAAGAGAGGGCAGTCGTACAATGCAAGTCGAGTTGCGTTGAGGTGGTGTATGTGCTGGTCAGCCGCTCGTACTTTGTCTCCCTACGTTGTGGCCTGTGGACTTGTGCCTCGTACTGACTGCCGTTACGGGGGCGCCTGGCCGGTGGACCCACTTGTCGATTGCGGTCCGAAAGAGAGACTTCCAGGTTGTGGTGGAAATGGGGCCGAAGCAGCGCACAGAGCAGCAGCGGTGCGGCAGATCTTGTTTGCTACCCTGTTGCCCGTAGAGTGAGGCACGCAGTGCAAAGGGTTGCGCGCAGCGGCCGCAAGGTCCAGCTCAAGCCAGCAACAACTGCCCGCCCGGCGTGCGCTTGTACGTTGCAAGTGGAGCTTCGTGGATCCTATTGGGCAGGTGTGGTGAGGCCAGGATGGATGGGATTACGCAAAGGATCGCCTCTGCTGCATTCGAGATTGGGGATTTCCAAGCTGGTGGAATCAGTCTCTGCGGACAAGGCTGTAGTCCTGAACGGATTGGTGGTCGTCCGCGCTCGGGAGGGGAGTTCAGCTGTACCATGCATTTGTCATGTGAATGTGACTCTTGTATGTTGACCGATTGTGCTGTTTCTGTCTGTCGAAAAGAATCAGAGAAGCGCGTTTCTCGTGTGCTGCAATGCTGGAGGACATCAACATGTGCTGTTGATCGCTTGCAAGACAGTCTTTACGGAGAGGCTCCAACTTTAGCTTCCAATGCTGCTGGTGTTATAGGGAGAGAAACGGAAAGAAGATTACGGAAATACACACGAGCACCCATATGTATTGTATGGACTGCGAACCTAGGTATGGAAATGTCCCAAAACGGAACGCGAACAAGAAGGTTTCCGAGCGACGACGATTTGTTGTTGACTATACTATGTAGTACTTCCGTATCCTTTGACGGTCAACACTGATAGTCATGCTGGGGAGTCCCTGCCACTGCGTCACTTGCGACGATCTTTGCGTTTTCGACTCACGAGTGTACATGCACTCACTTCACCATGCAGACACAGTACATACTTTACAGTGGGTAAGTTGAAAAGACATGCATTCAACTATCTCTGAATGAGCCGGCTCTGTCCTCTGTTCTATGCATACGCTGCATGAGGTAGGGACGGAACATTAGGTATGTACAGTACCATCTAAAAGAAAGCTTGGGTCATCATCCTCTTGTATATGCTCTGCCGAGACAAGAGAGCGAGTGGGCTACCTATTTGACCTACAATGAAAAAACCACTCGCTTTATTTCACAATAATCATGGGCCGCGGGGTCTAGAGTCCTTCCCCATGCCACTGTATGTACAAAATCAAAGCGGATAGCCTCATGAACGATAGACCATAATGTAGTCGTGGGGTCTCCGTCCCACGGCGCCACGCAGTCAAGCCTGCGACCCGCTCGCGACACCCCGAGACATTCGGCGAACCACCCCGCAAGATGATGGAGCCATGACAATGGCGCGGATTCCTTCGCCCCCAAAATGTTCAGCCCCAAGGTCGAGGGACAAAAGTCCTTGACAGGCTTCAGTCTGTATAGTGGAACGGGCACTGTTCGGATCGCCCCGCGCTGCTCGCGTGCTCGCGTGCTCCCGAGAGCCTGGACCGTTCTGTCACTTTGGACCTTTCGCGCGCCGATCACATGCTATGCTACTGGATCCGACAAGGGACAAGGGGCCCCCACGACCTAGCTAGGCGAAGCTTCCCCAGCTCTAGCCAAAATTCTACCCCTCCATCTGCAAAACACCAGTGCTGCACGCCAAATAACACAGAGCTGAACACGCTGAACACCCCACAAAATGTCTGTCACTCTTCACACCAACCTCGGGGACGTCAAGATCGAAGTCTTTTGCGAGGCTGTCCCCAAGACTGCAGAGGTAAACACCTCTCAACCCGCAAAAAGAAACATCACCCCTCACTAACCATATCCGCCACCAGAATTTCCTCGCCCTTTGCGCCTCGCATTACTACGATGGGTCACCCTTTCACCGCCTCATACCCTCCTTCATGGTGCAAACCGGCGCCCCCGCAAACCCCTCGCCCCCGGAGAACCCCAAAGGCGGCCGTAGTATTTGGGGCACCAACTTCGAGGACGAGATCAAGCCCACCCTGAAGCACACGCAGCGCGGCATGGTGTCCATGGCCAACAAAGGCCCAGGCACAAACGGGAGCCAGTTCTTCATTACCTTTGACAAGGCGAGCCATCTGGACGGGTTAAATACCGTGTTTGGCAAGGTTATTGGGGATGATAGCTTTGCGACACTGGCGACGCTGGAGACGAAGGAAGTGGATAAGAAGAGCAGACCCAAGGAGCCCGTGAGGATCGAGAGGGTTTCCGTGCATGCGAACCCGTTGGCAGGCTGAGGAGGATGCGCTGGAAGCAAAAATCCAACGGTCGGACCGGATGCGTCGGGATGTCTGAGCGACTGTCGCACATCCAATCCGGATGTGGCCCTGTCAGGCAAATACAGACAGTCAAGGCTTCCAGGACCAGTCGAGGTTATCTCGGCGCCGCCGTGCGAGAATATTGGAGAGCAGATGTAGGCATGCACATCGCCGCTTCTCGCCTAGGTCGCCACAACCCTCTCCTCTCTGTTGGGACGCCAGGGCCATTTGAACAAAGCAGCTCTGCATTGGTGTGGACCTACGCAGTAACTTATCACAAATACGGCTCTACACCGACGAGGCCGGGTACTCCGAAGGCTTCGAGGAGAAGGGTCTGTCCTACAAGGTTCCACTTAAGAGTATCTTCGGCCAGACAAGCCTCAGTGGGCGAATCTCAAACGCAAAGATGCTTCACGTGGCAGAAATCGTTCTCTGCTACATCTGTTTGCCGAACACAATATGAGATCGCTCATTAGATATGAGAGGAAGATCCACACCGAGGCATGGCCCATTGAGAGGTTCCCAAGGGAGCTCCGGACGAGCTATGCAGTAATATACAAGGCTGTAATGCTCGTAAGAAGAGGTAATAGCCGGCTAGAATTAGATACCCAGTCTCCTAATAGCGACACTCATATGGCGACTGAACTCTTTGGCCTCTGCAGCCACCTGAGGCCACTGGCATCCGAACATATCAAGGAGGTACATATAGAAAGTCCAATAATACAAAAAAAAAGATAAACGAGATTTGTGCATCAAGGATCAATCTTGATTTGGACTAGCGGAGAGATGTGAAAGCATTGTGTGAATGGAGTGATGTACAACGTTGGTGTAGCGCAACAACGTCACTATATGTTATTTGCTTTCCGCACACCGAGTATGGGAAGATGGCCGAGTGGTTAAGGCGCTGTGTTTAGGTTATTGATTCTCATCTTTACCGCAGTTCGAAAGAGCCTGGGTTCAAGTCCCAGTCTTCTCATCAATTTTTGCCTTGGATCCTCTACTATGTAGAAGCGTGGTCTTTCTTGCAGAATCTTTTTTGGCTTGTCGAGGCAGTGAGTGTAGTTGGTGAATTGGCTACGTACGACTGGGTTCAAGACACAATTCCAACTTGACCGTTTCCTACCACAGTATCCAAATGATCCTGTCTCGTTCATTGTGCAGGCCAACCGGGTTGTGACTGTCTTGCTCTCAAGAGATAATTCGTAGACCTCAACGGATTTATCTTTGATCAACATGATCAGATAGCGAGTTTGCAGGCGCTGGACTCCGGCAGATTGGCCGTTCTGTTCACTCCAGACATCGTGTCTACTTAAGTACGAATCCAATCTTGTGTAGCACTGCGTACCGGCCATGCTTGATCAGGTTCGAATTCGACACTTGAGAAAGAGACGTGGGAACGGCCAACACTGACTGGAAAAGTTTCCCTTCGGTCATAGAGACAAGAAGCAGCATAGAAATATAAAGTACAAAGCACGACTCTCTCTGCTGCTAACCTTGTCCCATGTCATTGTGGAGATGCCTGCTTGCCACATGGCCCGCCCGACAAGCGGCTGTTAGTCAGCAGCAACCCGCCGATCTAGATAGGAACCCCTGCCAAAAAGTTCCTAGGATCTGCCCCTCCAAAAGCGAGCTGCATCAACGACACACAAATCGAACTTCCCACAACAAGTACTGCAACAATGGCTTTCGACGATGACGATGATGCTGCGCGGGCCGGTCTCGCGCCTACCGCACCTACTGCTGAACAAGCCCTTGAGACCGCCGAAGAAGACATCGAAGATGAAGCGCAAGACTTTCGACATTTCCTCGCCTTGCAGCGCAAGAACTTCTCTTCGCAAGAGATTCGCAAGGGCGAGAAAGATTACGAGAATTACGGCATCCAGTCACAATCCAGCGCGCTGGAAGCCTCTCGCAGCGCCATGGAGACCGTGCTGAGCTACACGCGCCTGCATAACTCTGGTAAAGACTGGATACGGGGATGGTACTTCCCGGACCGATGGGCTACGGCGGGCGAGGAAGGTCAGGAGTACCTTTCCGAAGTGGAGAAAGAAGGGAAAGAGGTGGATGAAAAACAGGCGAAGATCGCGCGAGAAAAAGCCGCGGAGAGGAGGGAGATACACACGAGGGATCGCGTGGTATGTGTTTCGCTACAACATCACACATTGGGGCGCAGCGTGCGTGGCCAAGGAACGACGGTGCCTGGATGGGACCAAGTGTGGCTGCTGCCGGAGGAGGCACTGTTCTGGCTGGAGAGAGGCACGATGGATTTGTGGTGGCCCACGGCCTCCATTGCAGAGATCTTCCCCGTGAGGCGCGAAGACGATCCCGACGGAGAGGACCTGGCGCGACGGCTCAAGGAACTCAAAGAGGTAGAGGAGAAAGATGAGTACGCTTTAGGATTTCCGCTGAGTCTACAAGCGGCATATTCTCTACTGGTGGGTAAGGAAGGCGAGCGAGGAAGGACCACGTTGCAGAAGCTCCAGGTGTTCTCCAATCTCAACCGGGCAGGCTTCAACGTAATCCGCGTCCCTCCGCCCGATTGCATACCACACACAACAACAAGTGTCGCAAGCCCTACACAACCCATCTGGCAGCGCCTCATGAGCCTCCTATTCTTCGAGCGCCCCCTCAACCAACCTCCTTATGGGCCGCTCGTGCAGCCGGGTCTGTACCGCTCCTACGCCTCCATATACCGCCGACTTGCCGTCATCCCGCGGCACAAGCCCATCCCCCACGACCCAGCTCACCCCTGCACTACCGCTCACTCGCCTTTCCGGATTCAATACCATCTTTGGAAGCCTGGCACGCCCAAGTGGTCCAAAACCAAACCACCCACTGCGCCGGACTACTACCTAGCCATCGTTGACGCGCAAGAGACGTGCACGCCAACAACCGAGGAGATCACCACGCTGCTAGCCTCGGCACCGTACGCACCGCCGCCCAAGACGAGCAAGGGCCAGACAACGCATCAGCGGCTGAAACATGGGCATCGCAATGTGCTGGTTGCGGTGGTAGACCATGGCGTGGTGAATTACATCAGGTTTGCAGAGGCAGCATTTGGGGAAGAGGATTTAGTGAAGAACTTTGATTCGGCAACGAGGCAAAGGGGTGGGAAAAGAGGTGGTGGGCGGGGAGGACGGGGACGAGGCGGTGGCAGGG